ATTGCACCTATCCTGGCTTATGGATAGTAGAAGCATTAATGAGAGAATTAGAGGAAGAAGATTTAGAGAAAACAAAGGAAAATAGGGTGGGGAATTGCAGAGAGATATCAATGAGATTTTTAGACTCTTATAAAAAAAAAAATTGACAAAAACAAATATTCTTTTAGAATTTTTAGTCACCCGCAAATTTTTTTTAAAAGTAATTTTTTAAGTGAGGGTGAGAAATAGTTGGCAAATTTGAATAATAAATTTTATGAGTTCTTATACCAAAGCATGTACTAAAGCAAATTGGTGTAACAATTGTCAATCTAATAAAGGACTTTCAATACTTAATATATATATATATATATATATGTATGTATGTATGTATGTATGTATATGAGGGTGAAATTTCACATAAATCCAGGTATCAAAAGGTATTAAAATTGATGACATGGGAAAATTCTAATTCTTCCCATAACTGGAAAAACTCACGAGCTAAGAAGGTGTTCAAAAATCTCGAAGTTCCAAAAGTGGGAATCTTGATGTAAAAAGTAAGATTTCAGAATTAAATTTTATGATCAAAATGAAAAACTTTGTAGTTGCAAAACTATAACTAGTTAAGATAAAACAATAACTGGCTTATAGTTGTATTATTATTACAGTAAACCATTATTTTTATTTCTTAAACTATAACTTGTGTTAATACAAATTTTTTTTTTTAAAAAAAAACTAATATATTCAATATTTTGGATGAAAATCTAGTAATACCTTGTTTACAAAAGAAATAATAACCAGTTCATTTCTAAACCATTTCTTACATATCATCTGACTTTTTCTAAAAGAAAAAAAAAATTGAATAAATGTTGCTAAACAGCAGCTCAAGAAAATTGATCATCCACTGCCCCTGAAGAACAAAAAATCTGAGCCACAGTTTAAATTCAACTAATTTAGAAATATAATTCCAATAGGTCATCCCCCATTATCAGTGAAATAAGTGTACAAATGAGTGTCAAACTACATGAATAAATAAATTATATGTTTTGGTTGCTCAAAGTAATGGTAAAATCATAATCATCAGTTGTTCTATTTTCTTATATCAATAATATAAAAGACCATTGTCATATCTCTTCGGCTCAACATTCACTGTACACCAAGCAATTGGAACCCTTCTTGGTCCATATCCATATATGCTTTTATGGAAAGATCCACCAAATCATCAACGTAATGCCTTCCATCTCTTGTGAATGCATTGAAGCACATATAGATACTATTGATCTCATCCTTTCTATGTACATCTTGATTGTTTAGTCTCAACTACTCTGGCATCGTTATAAAGCTTTTCATACTACGATTTCTAGGAGTCCTTCACCTCCTCTAGATGCAACATCTTTTTTCTTCTACATTATGAATTGTAATTTATAACTTTGAATCCTCCTTATACAACTCCGAGAGAACTCCTAGCTTAATGTTAGTTTCTGCAAAGATCCTACTCTTGTACACACTAACCAAGATGATGGACGTGCATGCATAGACATCATTCTTACTCTATAAGGCTTGTTTGTTAAGCTTGAGTTTAGCACCCTTAGTTATTCTATATTCTATCGCAATTCTTTAACGTGTTTGAATCTCTAGATATCATGCCTAATGACTAATTAAAAAAGACTGGCACAATTTAGGAGTATGTACTTTTATATATCCTCTAATGAATATTTATCACTTGCTAAATAATAACCCAGATTAAAAAAAGTCAATATATTCATTTTAATAACCTTCTAATTTTGATTTATTATTATATTTAAATAAAATTAAGAATCATTCTCCATATCATTATTGTATACCTCTACGAGTATGTAGTCATCAAAACTTTTTGTTATTTTCTCTAATTTTTGTTAACCGAGGGTCACCATTGTTACTATATATATGAATAATAGTAAATAGATAATTACTTCCTAAATTAACATGATTTTTACATGTTTTTTTGGCAACATTAGAAAGTCCAAATTATGTTTTTTCTTATGAACATGCTCAATCTCTACCTCACCCTTACATTAACCTTACTCATAAAGTTGATTTGATGCGGAACTCCAAGACCCTTACTTGAACCTTAGAACTCTTCAATTAGTTTAAAACAGAATTTAAATCATAAGTAAAAAAGAATCAAATTTGTTCAATCACTCAAATGGTAGAAGTTAAATAGAACCCAAAAAAGATAAATGATATCTGTTGAACCCAAATTCAAACAAATAACAAGAACAATTGACTTAAACCCAAATGAGTTACACTTGACTATATGGACTTACTTAACTCAAACTAAAATAAAACAATATAAATTATTTAAAACAACTCAACTAATCCAGCTATACACAAGGCTTATTCACCCATTACAAATAATATTCCAACAAGCCAAAATTATCCCAAATCATTTAAACTCAATTAAAGTTACGAATTTGGGCTGTTCAAAAAGTTCATATTTGAATTTTTCACAATTGGCCAGCCCATCATCTACATGTTTTTGAGTGAAAACTTGAAGCAACTCTTTAAGCTTGTTTTCTTTTGATCTTATTACTGGTTCGCTGAAACTTTACAAGTTTGGAACTCTATTTGTGTTCACGTCATTTGAAATTTGCTCCAAGTCATTTTTTAATGCTGTTTGAGTATCTTGAGTATTTTTAACCTTGTTTGCATCATTCCCCCACCCTTCAAAAGGATTCGTCCTCGAATCAATTTCTGCATCAATTTCAAAAGGGGATAAATCATATATGTTAAATGTAACCGAAACACTATACTCACCTGGTAGTCCATTTTGTAGGCATTTTCATTGATTTTTGCTATGATTTGAAATGGACCATCCCCACGAGTATCCAACTTAGATTTTTGTTTTGATGGAAATCATTCTTTGTGCAAATGAATCCACACCCAATCTCCGGGTTCAAATGAAATCTTGCACCTTCCTTTATTGACATGGGATGCTACTTGTTCATTTTTCTTTTCAATGTTCTACCTTACTTTTTCATGAATTGCTTTAACCATTTTGGCTTTCTTATGTCTATCCAAATTAGAAATGTCACTTATAGGAATAGGCAACAAATCAAGTGGAGTTAAGGGATTAAAACCATACACAATTTTAAAAGGGGATAACCCAGTAGAAGAATGTATATTCCGATTATAAGCAAATTCAACAAATGGTAGTATATCTTCCCAAATTTTAACATTCCTTCCAATTAAAGCACGTAATAATGTACCAAGTGTTCTATTTACTACTTCAGTTTGACCATCCGTTTGTGAATATAAAGTAGTAGAAAATAAAAATTTGGTCCCAAGTTTGGACCACAAAACTCGCCATGAGTGGCTTAAAAACTTAACATCCCTATCAGACACAATCTTTTTAGGAAAGTCATGCATTCTAACAACTTGGCGAAAAAAAAAAATCTATTATGTGTGTGGCATCATCTGTTTTGTGACATGGTATAAAGTGTGTCATTTTGGAAAAACGATCAACAACAACAAATATTGAGTCTCGGCCTTTTCTAGTTCTAGGCAAACCCAACAAAAAGTCCATAGAAATATCAACCCAAGGATGTGTAGGAATGGGTAATGGCATATATAATCCATGTGGTTGAACTCTAGACTTAGCTTGCCTACATGAGATGCAGTGCGCACAAATTTTCTCAACATATTTGTGCATATTAGGCCAAAAGAAATGTTCATGTAAAATGCTCAAAGTTTTGTCAATTCCAAAATGTCCCATTAAACTCCCACTATGTGCTTCACGAACAAGCAACTCCTTAATAGAACTATTAGGCACACACAATTTTTCCTTTTTAAATAGAAAACCATCATGCGTATAAAAGTCTTGAAATGCCGCATGTTCACAATCCATATAAATATTTGAAAAATCACTATCATACACATAGAATTTTTTGAAATGCTCAAATCCCTACAACTTTGTAGAAATAATAGAGATAAGACTGTACCTTTTTTAAAGCGCATCAGCTACCACATTTTTTTGCCTTGCTTATATTGGATCACATATGGGAAGGACTCTATGAATTCTACCCATTTTGCATGTCGTTTATTAAGCTTGCCTTGCTCTTTCAAATGTCTCAAAGATTCATGATCGATGTGAATCACAAATTCTTTTGGTAACAAATAATGCTGTCATGTCTCTAATACTCTTACCAAAGCATAAAACTCTGTCATAGGTGGAATAATTCAATTGTGCACCATTGAGCTTCTCACTGAAGTAAGCAATGGGTCTTTTATCCTGCATAAGAACAGCACCAATCCCAAGCTTTGAGGCATCACATTCAATTTCAAAAGTTGAATCAAAATTAGGCAATCTTAATAAAGACGCATTACATAATTGTTCTTTAACAAGGAAAATGCATGTTCTTGTTATTTTCTCTAAACAAACCTCTTATATTTTTTCATGATTTCAGTTAAATGGGCAGTAATGGTGCTAAAATATTTTATAAATCTCCTATACAAACTTGCTAAACCATGAAAACTACGCACTTCACTTACACTTTTAGGTATCGGCCACTCTTGAATAGCCTTTACCTTTTCACTATTCACCTCGATTCCTTTTGCACTCATGACATATCCTAAAAAAATGATGTGATTAATGCAAAATGTACATTTTTTCATGTTAGCATATAGTTGAAATTTGCGCAATGTGTCAAACACTTGCCTCAAATGCATGACATGCTCATCAATAGATTTTGTATACACAAAAATGTCATCGAAGTAGACAACCACAAACTTTCTAATAAATTCACGTAAAACATGGTTCATTAAACACATAAAAGTACTTGGCGCATTGGTTAAGCCAAATGACATAACCAACCACTCATATAACCCTTGTTTTGTTTTAAAAGAATTTTTCCATTCATCTCCTGGTTTCATTCTTATTTGGTGATAACCACTTTTAAAATTAAT